TATTTTTTTGTATCTTTTTATTTTTTTAACATTGTTTTGGCTGCTCGGGGCTTTCTCAGTTAGAGCGGTTGAATCGGCCAGTTTACCGGTTAGGCCAGTTAAACCTCTTCCAGGCCTATGTCTGGTTAACCGTTCCGGTTCGATTTTACAAATACTGATCATATACAATATTATATAAGATATTTATATATTATATAATATTGTAATATTTATAAAATATAATATAAATATATATTATAAAATGTTTATATTATAATATTATATATAAATAAAATATATATTTATTCTATTTATATATATATATTATATAATATTATAATATATATATATATATATTATATAATATGATAAATATATATTATATATAATATTTGGTATAATATAAAATATTACATTAAATATTAATATATATTTAATATAATAAATTTATATATTATTTATATATTATGTATTATATATAATATAATAAATATATATTATATATAATAAAATATAGATATATAGTAATATTATTACATATAATATATAATCAAGGTTGTAACCTTATTTGGAGGTGCGCCTTAGGGTGTAGCTTATGTAAGGTTGCAGCCTTAAACAATCCAAATCAAGTGCACCTCCAAATTTTATCATAACATGTAATTTTGGTGTAAGAAATTCTTAAGATTATCTCAAAATTTATTTTCATATATAATTATAGAATTTAAATTCCAAAAATAGTTAAAATCAAGTACATCTATATACATATGAAAATCTTGTAAATAGACGATTTAGATAATGTGTTGCAAGTTGCACTATTTTTGGGAATCAAAATCTTTTTTCTTTCATATTCATATATCTCGATGGTGAGATGATGAATTAGAGGGTTGCTTAACATTAAAACAACATTTTTCTGTTTGTTGAGGTGCATATGTGATTCTACAATTTAAGGTTGCAACGGATAAGAAGGGACCAAGTCAAAGTTACTTGGTCATCAAGTATGATATGTGATTCTACATTTTAAGGTTGCAACTGATAAGAAGAGACCAAGTCAAAGTTACTTGGTTATCAAGTATGGTATGTGATTCTACATTTTAAGGTTGCAACTGATAAGAAAAGAACAAGTCAAAAGTTACTTGGTCATCAAGTATATTTGGTGCCTCTTCCTATTTACCTCTATCTCTAAGAATCATACTATATTCGTCTCCTATAATTGTGTGATTGTCCTATATATATATAATTGTGTGATTGTCCTCTATATATACATGTACTTATTGATGTAAATATTTATAGGATTGTCCTCTATATATAGATTGTACTTATTGATGTAACTATTTATAGAATTTATAGGATTGTCCTCTATATATAGATTGTACTTATTGATGTAAATATATATAAGATTTATAGGATTGTCCTCTATATATAGATGTACTTATTGATGTAAATATTTATCCCAAAATTAGTGAAGAAGTAGTTGGCGGCTTTAGATCTGTGGACGTAAGGCTTTTAGCCTGACCACGTAAATGTTGTGTTTTCTGTTTTTCTCTCCACATTCAATGTCTCTCTTCTTCACTCCATATTTAATGTCTCATTCAATGTTTGTGCATGTATGCTTTCACAAATCTTAACTCTTTACATGCCGCACTGTTGTGCCTTCGTGATTCGGCGGTCTCGGTTTCAAAAGAAATTTTAGGCGCTATTGGAACGTATGAGAGCGTCCTGGCTGTGTTGCGGTGCTGGCTGTGCGGTCTCGTTGCGTTCTTTTGCTTTGCAAGTGCAAAACGTTGCATTCTTTTGATTCTTTTGTTTAGTAAGTACAAAAACTTCGTTCTCTCCCTATTGGAGTCTCATTGCAAGTATATGGTGAATTTTTTACAAACTAGTTTGATATGCAAATTAGTGGCTCTTGGTTTGCTTTTGACCGATCTTTGTCAAGAGGGATCCCGCGCGTCCTTCTCGACTGCCGATTATTTTGATTGGTGTAGTTGGTGTTTGGGATTCTTTAATTTGGTTTGGGGTTCTTAAATTGATTACCATAATTGCTCTTATTCGTTTACCGTTTTAATTTTTTTTAGGGTTGTTTCGAAGAAAAAAAATTGAAAAAAATATGAAGAAGTGGAAAACAAAAAAGAAAAATGAGTGGTACTTTGTGGGCTATTGTCTAGAAGCCCAATTTAATTGTTTTTTTTTATATCAGTGTACTAAAAAATAAAAATAAATAAATAAATAAAAATATTTTGGAAGTTGGATGTTTCTTCACATCCACATCTAACTTGAGGGAGAGAGTATAGGAGATATGAAGATGAGATGAGTAAAGATGAGGTCAACATCTCTAATATAACCGCTATGTGGATAAGAACATCAGGTCTTTCTGGTATTTGTGCATTTTTCAATTGTCTCGGGTGTTTTTTTTACTTCTAGGACTTTGTCATATCATTGTTTCAGTGACATCGTCAAGGAAGCACATTCATGATTAGCGGATTTTTCAAGAAGAAGTTTTCATCTCGTTGCCACTTTATTGTCGTAGGGCCGTCTTTGTTGTGCCTTTGGATCACTTTTAGTGATTTTTTGAACAAGTTATGATCACGTATCACGGATCACATCTCTTCGCTCTTCTCAATGAGAGGCAGTGCAAGTTTTTTGGTTTCAAGACTCCAATTCAGTTTCATTTTGGCAATATGGGTACTTCGGCATTTCGCTTCAGATCTCCCATCCACCAATTTTAAAGAGAGTCTTGAAAATAAGAAGAGATTAAGTTACTTAGTCATCAAATAAGTTTGGTAAGTAAGTTTGGTGATAAGTCATCCTATTATTTACCTCTATATCTAAGAATTATACCATATTTGTCTTTTATAATTATGTGATTGTCCTCTATATATATAGAAGTACTTATTGATGTAAACATTTATTAAAAAATCAGTGAAGAAGTAGCCCGTTGGAGCTTTGGATCTGCCGAAATAGAGCTTCGACATGAACCATGTAAATGTTGTGTTCTCTCTTCTTTTCCACATTCATTATCTCATTCAATGTTTTTATGCTCACACGAATTAACAACGACTTTATATAAACTTTTTCCTTTATATTAGGCATGGTGAATAATGAACAAAAAAACTTTGAAAGATTAAGTTCCTATCCCCTAGGAACTTAACCTTTTACTTTTTTAACAAATAGGAACTTAACCTTTTTTACTTTTAACCAAAGGAATAGGAACTTTTGTTGGGAGATTAGTTTATGAATTTTTTATGAAAAGTGTGAAACAAATGCGTAACTTTTTTAAAATCCGAAAGAATACTTTATGAAAAAATAGTTTCAGAAACGTCCTTAAATAGCAAACATATTAAAATTTTAAAGAGAGAAAATATATTAAAATTTTAGAGATAAAAATTATATGAAATTCTAAAGAGAAATTACCTAACAAATTTTAGAGAGAGAAGCTTTGGAGAGAGAAACCATCCCAAATTTTATGTTTTAGAGAGAATGCATTTAAAACTTTTAGAGAGAGAAACTATATTAAATTTTCGATAGAGGAAGTATCTAAACTAGAGAGAGAACTATCTCAAATTTTGCAGAGAGAGAGAGAGAGAAACTATCTCAAATTTTAAGTTTGAGAGGGAGGGAGAGTATATTAAAACTCTAGAAAGAGAAACTATATCATCCATTAAAGAAAAACTATCTCAGAATTTTAGATAAAGAAACTAACAAATTTTAAGTTTTAGAGAGAAAAAGCATGTTTTAGAGAGAAAAAGCATATTAAAATTTAAGAAAATAACTATATCAAATTTTAGAGAGAGAAAGTATCAAAAATTTGTAAGAGAGAGAAACTATCTCAAAATTTTAGTGAGAAATTATCTCGAATTTGAAGTTTTTGAGAGCAAAAGTATCTTCAAATTCAGAGAAAAACTATATCATTTATTAGCGAGAAAAATTACCTAAAAATTTTAAAGAGAGAAACTATATCAAAATTATTAGAGAGAAAAACAATGAAACATTTTAGAGAGAGAAACTTTCTCAAAATTATTAGAGAAGGAAACAATGAAATAATTTCAAATTTTAAGTTTTAAAGAATAGAGTATCTTAAAATTTTAGAGAAAGAAATTATATTAAATTTTAGAGTGAGAGCATTGAAACTTTAGAGAGAGAAATAATCTCAAAAGTTTTACAGAAACAATTTCAAATTTTAAATTTTGGAGAGAAAGTATAGTAAATTTTAAAGAGGGAAAGTTTCTCAAAATTTTTATAAGAGTATCTCAAATTTTGAATTTTAGAGAGAGAAAATATATTAAAATTTTAGAGAGAGAAAAACTTATCAAATTTATTTTAGAGACAGAAATTTTATCAAAATTTATTGAATATAAAATATCCAAAATTTTTAATTTCCTCTCTCCCAACGGAATTTAAGAGGATATACGAATATTTTACCTAAAATTAAAATGAGCCACTATTTAGCGTAGTTTTCGGCTTGACTCTATTTAGCGTAGTTTTCGGCTTGACTTTCTCTCTTTTTTTTATTACATTATTTGGCGTAACTGTCTTATTATAGGTTGTATAATAAGGTATTATCTCTTTTCTATTAATCTATTGACTTATCCAAAAAAACTAAAATGACGCGGGATAGACCTCAGCGTAAAATGTTAAAATGTAGATCAACGTCCAACACAAATTATAATTTTCAAAAAAATAAAAAAAAGAAAAAAAAGAAAAAAAAGGCCATACACAAATTATCAAAAAAGAGAAAAAGAAGAAAAACAACTTACCCAAAAAACCCTAAAAAGACGCAGGGTAGCCCTCAGCGTAATATGTTAAAAATGTAGATCATCAAGGCCATACACAAATTATAATTAAAAAAGAAAAAAGAAAAAGCCATACACCGATTACCAAAAAAGAGAAGAAAAGAACAAAAAAAAAAAAAAAATCTAATTGGAATTCAAAAGCTAGAGTGACTGACGTGTAGGTGGTGAGCACGGGGACTTTAGCACAATCTTCTCCACCACGGTGATAGGATCTGAATAACGGACTCCATTCAAGAATCATCCGTAACCCACAGGACACGTATACGAACCTTACAAAACCCCAACCCATAAGACCAATATTAACCTCTCCCTCCCAGACCAATTCTCCTCATACTTGAACCCTCTCTCTTCCTTTTTTTTCTCCTTCATCGTCTCTCTGCTCACCCTTTCCCACTGCTTTACAATCTTCTCTCTCGCATTTCTCGGCTCACCTTTTCCCACCATTTCACAATCTTCTCTCTCACATTTGTCGTTTGTTTTGCAGTCGCCGTTCTCGGAATCTCCCACACGCTCTCTCATTTCTTTTGCTGTTGCAGTTCCCGGCTCTCTCATTTCTTTTCCGATTGCGGTTCCCGGAATCCCCATCCCCAGGCAACATTGTTGCATCGAAAATGGTGTCATCGTCCTCCAGCTCGCCATGTGCCGCCTGCAAGTTACTCCGGCGCAAATGCACACAGGAGTGTGTGTTTGCTCCGTACTTTCCCCCTGATGAGCCCCAGAAATTTGCTGATGTCCACAAGGTCTTCGGGGCCTCTAACGTGACAAAAATTCTTAATGACCTTCCACAATTTCACCGTCCCATAGCTGTGACCACATTGGCTCAGGAGGCGGATGCCCGTATCCGCGACCCCATCTATGGCTGCGTTGCCAGGATATCCATGTTACAATCCCATCTGCGCCAAATACACGCAGAGATTGGTACTATACAGTTAGAGCTCTCTAAATACCTTGGCCCCCACTTGCAGATCGGGCCCTCATCATCATCTTTAGGTTTTACAATTGCACTTGGGAATAAGTCAACGGGCACACCCCCACCCCAATTGAATTTTTTGGATGTTCAGTCAATGGGCACGCCCCCACCCCAATTGAATTTTTTGGATGTTCAAAATCAACAACAGCAATTGTTAGCTGAGCAACAGCATCAAGAGATGATAAGCAGTTATGACGGAGACGTTGCGAGGATGAATGCCGCTGCTGCAGCGGCAGTAACCGGAACATCCACATCACCGGTAACAGGGTTTGATGGGGGATATGGAGGGCAAGGGGCATTGGGATTTATGGGACCGTATGTGCAGCAGTCTAGAGTTTCATTTGAAAATGGATTTGAACCGAAGATCATTGGAACCCAATTTGAAACTGGATTTGAAGAGAAGATGGCTGGATCGGGTCGTGATGCAGTACAATAATACAGAGGTTCTTCAAATTCTTCAAATTTTTGTAGGTATTTTCTATCCACTTTTGTAACATTCTCTTGTACTCTTCTCTCTTTGTTTGTTTGGAAATTATTTATAAGGAAATTTTTTTTTCGAATGTGAAAATATATCTCGGAAATTATAACATAAGAGTAAGTTGTTTGGAAAATCTTAATTATAATATAAGAATGTTCGGAAAATGGCTTAGAAATGGCTTTGAGATCTAGTGTGATGTGTTTTTGCTAAGTAATTTGATTGTATTTCATCACCTTTATTTTATTGTTGCTTTTTTTTATTTTTTTGTAAGTTCTTTCATTCTCATATTCTTTTCCAATTGCACGGTTATATGTCTGTTATAGTGTTCTTTTCCAATTGCATGTCCGGCATTTCATGAAAGATGCTGAACCTTCTGGTTTAGTGGTTAAGAGACCGGAAATACCAACTTTATGCGTAAACTACGTATGCTTAATGCACTCATATTCTGATTTTTGGATTACCAATTTCATGTTTGGCATTTCATGAAAGACGCTGGAACTTAGGGTTTAGTGGTTAAGAGAACGGAAATACCAAGTCTATGCGTAACAAAGTATGATTAATGCACTCATATTCTGATTTTTGGATTACCAGACAATATAGACTTTTAATTACAAGCCAGATATCGGTTAAAAAATGTGGATAGCCTCCTGAAGTCTTAGCCTTGGATGCATGTTATTATTATGAAAAGATTCTCAATCCTTCAGCAAAAAATGGTTTTAAAAATAAGGTGTACATTGGGTTTGGGAAGAGCTTCTGATCTGTGTATCGTTTAGGTAAGTCTCTTAGTCTTGACGCTAATCTCACAACACAATTCTGGTTGCATTAGTTGGGTTTTGTAAAATCGGTATTAAGAAAATATGTATAGATAAACACTCTGACAAAATAAGACATCTTAATATTCATGTATTTTTGCAAAATAACAAAATTCTATAATTCATTTTCCTAATTTTTTTGAGAACCCAAACAACAATATTTATAATAATTTTTTATTAATTTAATTTTTAATTAATTTTTAGAATTTTTTAAGGCTGGATCGGGCCAATCAAGCCAATCCACCGATCTTGATTGCTGATCAGGTGAATGACAACATGTTCCTCCTAAACAACAGATTTAGTGTTCTCCCCATCTCACTAACCATCTTTTAGGTGTTCTAGAGTCCCCCAAAGCTTTATAAATCCCTTCCAAATTATTGTCCTTCATTTTTAGGGTTTATCCTGCATTTTAGTCACCAAAGGATTCTAAATCCCCTCTAAATCAATTTCCTCCCTATGTGAATAAAAAAAGCAAGAAATTCCCTCGATGTACCACGCATTGAACTAGTCGTCTATGATATTATTTTAGGGTGTGGTGAATTCGAGATGAATACATTTGAGAGAGCTTAGGTATAGCTCCAATATGCGACAAGATGACGAAAAGTAGACTTAGTTGGGCTAGATATGTACAATGCAAACACATTATAACACATGTTAGGAGGTTCAAGCTGGAGCAATTAGAAGACTCAAAAAGGGCAAAGGGTAGGTCGAAAAAGACATAGTTGGAACTAGTGAGAAGAGATATAAAGACTTCAGGCTGGAGCAATTAGAAGACTCAAAAAGGGCAAGAGGTAGGTTTAAAAGGACATAGTTAGAACTAGTGAGAAGAGATATAAAGACTTCTGGCCTCATTGAGGGTACGTCTATTAATTGAGCAGAATGATAGACTGTATAGCCGACCCAAATAGTTGAAAAAAATGCTATGATGATGAAGGTGAATACATGCCAGTGTACCAAATCACTTGTTAGAAGGTATCAAGTTTAAAGAATAAAAGAAGGTTATGGTGAAATAGTCGGTCTAGATAATTTGTTACAATTTACACTATTTTTAAAGCTTGAAATTCTATTTCTTTTTAACAGTCATAATGTTCAAGCCGAGATGATCCATGTAAAGTTTTTTCTATACTTGAATTGCAATTTTTTATGAGTTATGAGGTGAGGAATACTTATTTTGATAGGGTTGTCGCCCTATTAAATCATTGTCCTTACTTGAATTCCAAGAAATTAGGACATCCCAAACTCGTTATTCGTTTTTCTGAAATCATAGATCTTTCTCTAGCAATCTCTAATGAAATTAAATCATCTGCATAAACAAAAAAAATAATAATAATAAAATCATATTATCAATAAAGTTTCTCTATTTATTAAGTCCAAGCTCATATGGACACGCCATTTTTTGGGAGGGGTAAATTAGCATGGAAGGGGTCCCTTGTTGTAGTAGGAAAAAAAATCGAACCCAATCTTACAAAGATTTTCATTAGCAGCAAACCGAGGTCTATCAAATAAGAGCCGATTATCCTGACCATCTAGACTACAACGGAAGATGAATCATTGTGATACAAGGCTAAATCTTACTGGGTAATGGCAGCAAGGCCACACTGCCACTTACAATACTCTGTTTGATATGCGCTCTCATTGTTTCAAGTTGATTTATTGCTTTTGGAAAGCTATGTAAGCTCCGCGTACCATTTTTATGAATAGCTGCAGATAGAAAACTTATTTGAGCTAATCAAGCCAGAGAAGACTCTTCTAGAAAGCTTCATGCCCAGGCTGTGTAAGTTAATTAAGATTTAGATTTTCGATAATTTTTGCATGGTCAAGGGGTTTTCCTTGCAATAGACAGATATGTTTGAAATTCTGGATTTGATGATGTTTGAAATTCTGGCTTTCGATAATTTACTGCTGCATTACTCTCATTGATAAAATCACTCAACAAATTAGTTGATAGAAACCATCCTTGCTATAAATAGTTTTGCACAATCTGAGGAATTTTTATGTTGAAAATTCGCACTGTATGTTCATCAGTCTCTTCAGGGAAATTCATTATCCACTCGGCCTCAGCCCCTTCCTGGGTTTAGTAACCGGGTTGCAACTCAGTAATTTAAAAGATAAAAATTATATAAATTTATATAAACAAAACTAAAGAAAAAAAAAACAAGCTTTTGATTTTTTTTTTTCTTCTTCTTTTTTTGTGTAAAAGATTTCAAAACTCATAATGAATTTTACTCTAAAAAAGCTTGATGAATTTTGCCAAAAACGAAAATAGACCTGATCATAATCCAATATCTGTCTATGAGTTACGAGTTGGAGGATGGGAATTCCAGTTATTTCCTCTTCTGATTGGGTTCATCCTCGATAGTTTTGTAACTTTTATGCCATCACATGGCTTAAACTTTTTATTTCTTCTTTCTTAAATACATTTTGTTTTATGCATTCAATTGGCAGTTTTCCTTAAACATGCTTTCGTGCGGTATCGTTATACCTTTTTATGATATGACACAGAAGGACAACGGCCATTTTCTTTCTCAATAAACATTCTTCTTATACCTTCACTAGACATTTTCAGTCAGATATGCCTTCGTTTGGCATCCTCATATATTTTCATGATATGCTACACAAGGACTTTTCTTTCTTTTTTTTTCTTTGCTACTCCTTTTTTTTTTTTCTCTCTCCAATCTTTCACACCATGCCAGGTTGCTGTTCTACAGCATTCTCATACTACCATCAAAAAAGTAAAAATAAATAAAAAAATCACCTACCTAAAGGTTTCTCCCTTATAACAAGGAGCAGTTCAACCTAAACTAGATAAAGAGACAAAAAGATAAAGTGAGGATGCTATGCCCAAAGGACCATAGAAATGCTCCTAAATATCTCGCATGAACTATTCAACACCTTCTTTCACAATGTCTATCTCATTCACATAAATGCATGTACGTTTTACCATGAAATGCTGCTTACTTGCCTTCTTTTTGCTTTTTTTCTCTACGTTCTTGACCACAATAGATTTCTTTATATATACAGAAACTACTTGTAAACCATTTCAAGTAGTTACACAAGCTACCCATACACCATTTGCATATGGTTATAAGTGAAAGAAAGACCAATCTGATCTTGTTGAGAAATATATATTTTTTATTTTCTTCTTTACACTCCTTTTTTTTTCTTTTCTTTTAACAAAGATCACAACAAATAGTCTTTGCTAAAACAACTCTTGCTTCACATAAAATAAAACTAACAAATCCAAGATCTTAAAAACCTTGATGCCACTTTTTATGCTTGAGAATATAAATATTAAATTGTAAGAAATAAAATGGAGAGTACCGAAGATTACCTCAACCCAGCTTATTACACCCCACACCGAGTCACCACCATCCAATGACTCGGGATCGACGATCTAGCTTCAATCTCAACCTGGAAAACAATTTTAGGCCAAACGTTTTTATGGAATTATAAACTCCCCCTTTTAATCATAAATCTTTGAACCTAGGTTCAAACTCCCAAAGACTTAGTTGAGCATATCCTTTAGTACCCAACCTTTAGGTTCAATCAAGATGAGAGAGAATGGGAGATATCCTAGGGTACCCAACCCTTAGGTTTAATCAAGATGAGAGAGAATAGGAGATATCCTAGGGTTGGCGCATGCCCCCTCTATGGTCTAGAAGAGAGAAGAGGCTAGAGAGAAACCTAGAGAGAGAGGAGAGAGAATGGGGCGTGCCCCTTAGAGAGGGAGAGAGAGTTTAGAGAGAGAGAGAGAGAGAGAGATAAAAGAGATTGGTGCAGAGAATAGATGAGGGGAGGTTCTCTATTTATAGGAAAAATTCGATCTAGGGTTTCCTATAGTCTGCTTCTTAAGTGAGATTGAACATGAACCGTTGATCAAGGGTGATTGGTGAGAGATCTGAGCTATCCATTCTATAGATGAGCTATCAATATTATGGAAGATGCATGAACCATTATCCCCCTTTCCTAAACCATTATTTCATCAATAAAAATTAAATAAATTAGATCCAATTAAAATATTGTGCACACCATAAAATAAAAAAAGCCTTCTCATATTTTCCATAAAATCTTTGAAAATATATCAAGTTAATATCTAGTCAATATTTAGTCAATATATTCCAACCATATGACCACATGCCATATCTCACAAAATAAGGAAACAAAATAAAAGGGTGGGGCGTGCAACCCTAGAGCGGGCTTTATGGGCCCCACCTCCAACAACATGGTGGACCCATGTGCACAATGGGGCCCCCATAAAATTTTTATACCTAAAAAAAACTAAAAATAATTTTAGAATATTATTTGAATATTTAAACTATTATAAAATTAATATCTTTATTTTCATAAGCTCAAATTTTATAAATAAAATATCCAGAGATTTATAAAAATTCAAATAATAATGTTTAAATAATATTTATCATAAAACAAACATAATTAAACTAATATAATGAGAAAATGTTCTATATGACTTATGAATCAACAACATGGGGCACTCCACCTTGAACTGTGAACTACAGACCACACTTGCTTTATCAGACCGACTCAATGTTTCTCATTACCCACAGTCCAAGCATGGGCTCATTGTTGGGTCACAAAAGTCTAGCATATGAGCAAAGGGGTTGTAATCTTAGTCTGTAGATTTCAGGTCCTCCCCTAAAAATAAGCCAAGGTCACCTAGACTTGATGCGACTACAGCTCCTATGGCGCATAGGGGTATCTCTCGCACATGCAAATGCCTCACCCACCCTAAAAGGTGGTTTGCTTTCCCGAAACGGTCTATCAATATGCAGGCCATGTGATGGTACATGAATGTAGCTTTGGCCCCGTATCTGAAGGCCACCATCACACACAAAGGTTACACAGTCCCTCGACTTACTCATCTAGGCATATTCCGACTTCATCAAGAGATGACCCATTAGAACTCTTATCGATTTATACTTTATGCCCAGGTAACATGGGTTTTTTTCCAACCAACTGGCCTAGACTGTCAAGAACAGTCCGGTATCAACAAACATCGTTTGCTTAATATGGTCCACGAGGGACCACACTCCCACCAAGTTTATGTTTAACTATATCAAATGTTTTATTACAATTACTCATAAAGCTTTTAAAGGCCACATAAACCCAACAATAAGAACAACTTATACATCATTACATGTAGTTGCATAAACGACCTACAACAAACTATTCCTACTAAGTATTTTGCATCTATTTGAAACAAAAGATAAGTTGAACAAAGCACAACCGATTTTTCCACATCGCAGTGGAAAAAGATTAAGAAATAATTAAAATTGAAGATGATAAAAAGGAAATTACAAAGATTACAATATAATTATTGATTCATCAAATGAAGGAACCCATTAAAAGCCTTGAAGCCACAATTTTTGCATCAAAAAGGAAATTGAAGATCATAGCAAAACTATTGAGCTTGTTTTAACAATTCAACAACAAAGGGATTTTTCCATCATGGAAGAGAGATGAAAATTGATGCAAAATAGTTAGTGAGATTAGTTTGTATTGGTAATTTCTGTAAACATGTAATGGTGTGTGAGTACTTGGTATAGGTACTTTAGAATATCTATCTAAAGATAACAACTATAGAGAAGAATCTATGTAGAAAGAAAAACAAGTGTCGGCAAAAATGGAGAGAAAAAGCGGAAAGAAAGTTAGTACGCAGCAGTCCATAGTAAAAAATACTTGCATTTTTGTGAATGAAATAGACATTGTGAAGAAAAGTATTAAAGTAGTTCACATGAGCTGTGTAGGATGATTGTTATGGCCCGTTTAACCATAGCATTCTCACTTAGCCTTTATGTCTTTTCTCTTCATCCCGTTTATGCCGAATTCCTCCATGTGTCAAGCGAGAAACGTTGTATTACTGTAGGTGTATATTTATTTTTTTTAGGATTTTTTACAATAATTAATAACTTTTTCTTGTCATATACCCTAATTTTCTTTTTCCTCCTTCTTATTTATTTTTTTGAGATATTACTAACTGTAAATCATTTTTCAATCCATTTTTATTAATGTTTTAAGCACATTTGGATAATTTAGTTTGTTTTCAGTTTTGTTTCAATTTTAATATTTGTATTTTATTTTTACCTTTTTAATTTTTTTATAATTTCAGAATAAAAACAACGCATAAAGATCTTGGTGTCAGTGGTGAATAGATTGGGACCTAACTCTACAAAAGGCAAAAAGGAAGATCCAAGAGGAAGAATTGAAGAGGAAGACAAAATGATGCAAGAGAGAGTCATATTTATGCGAAGTTCCCACCAAAATTTTAGAACCACTCTTCCCCCCCTCTTTCACACTCTTTTGGATTTTTGCTAGGAAATAGGACATACACATACATTTCTATCTTCTTAGATTCTTTTAACATTTTTTCAAATTTTCGGAACTAGCATTTGGTGTGAGTCTCATTGGGCACCCAACTCGCCTTAAACTCGCCTCACCAGTCAGGATGGACTCGCTAATTAACGCGCACTGGGTTCAATAATTCATTTTTTTCCTCTGTCTCTTTAAGTAGATGTACAATTCACAAAAGACCATTGGACTACACATAAGGGGATCCACCAATCCTCATTTATATTCATTTGATTTATGTTTGCCCTCTATCAGTAAAGCGCACAAAACCATTTACGTTCTCTTCTGTTCCCAACAATGGCTTTGTGTTTCTGATTCAACCTATGCTTAGGAATGTCGCTGTTGACTCGAATTGGTGTTAAAAAGCCGTTGCTTCTTCTTGTAAACCGATTCCACTATCTGTTGGCGAGCATGTCGGAAAGTCATTCCATAAATTATAAAAGGGTATTTTTTTCATTTTATTCATTTAAGTTTTTGTTCCGTTTTCTTAAGCTTTATGGACTTCTTAGATAAGAAAATGGTACATTTTAGTATTAATTATAGGAAAGGTTAATTGAATTCATTAAAAAAAAAGTTTATATAAGGTAATGTTCACAAAAAAAAAAAAAAAAAAAAGTTTAATATAAGGTGTCAACTACAAGTGACGTGTACCTAAAAAACTAACAAGTGAAGGTTGTTCCTATAGTAGAAGGCCCTCACATCGATCGTCTAGACCTCGATATGAATAGAAAAGAAAAAAAAGGAATTTATTGTCCTAAAAATAGTTCATCTTGTAATACATTACGTGGACCGTCCATTTTCAAGATTTTCGAGTGTTTATAGATCTTCTTGATTTTCACACTTTCTGGAACTTCAAATTTCATAATTTGGGGCAACAATAGATTTTCATATTATTGCAAAGCTTTGTTGCACCGAAAAAATGCATAGTTTTGAGGTGCACATTACATCAATCTTATAAGGCCCTCTGCTACGGCCTTTGGCATCTCATCTCCTGACCATTGTTATGTTATATGAGTCCTTGTATTCAGTAGATCGTTATATGTATGCTCCACTCTCATGGAAATCCCTTGAACATCAGGATCTCAAATTGAAATATTATCTCCCCAAAAGTTGTGCATGGATATTATGTTCAAGAATTAATTTCCCAAGAAATCCGCGTAAACATTATCCAAATCCAAAAGCTCCTCAGTGGTGGAAACTGAACAGGAGTTAGAAAGTTAATTCAAATTTTAAAAGGGCATTTTAGTATGTTAAGTTTTTTCAATTTTTTTTTAGCTCTTTATGAAGTTCTTGGAAGCAAAATTGAAAGTGTTCTTGACGACTGGAATTATTAGTTGAATCCATTAAATGTCATTTACCAATAACTACAAAATCTTCAATCAATAGAAGTATTTTACCTACAGTAGGCATTCTTCAGAGGAGATGATCTCTTGGGTCCACTTGCTTTAGCATCTTCCATATGTTTTTGTTTTATTTTGTGATTCATTTATTGATATTACTATCTGTATTAGATAAATCCTTGTTTACAGCAATTTTTACCCAATATTCGATTGGGAGGATATCCAAGGCATGAAACACACATGAAGTTCTTGAACTGGTAAAGCGAACATCATTGCTATTAGCAATCAACAAGGGCTCCACTAGGTAACCATTAGCAATCAACAAGGGCTCCACTGACTGTGCGCTTTCTCTCTCTAATTACATCTTGATCATGTCAATTATATAAGTCTTTTATTTCGAACCATACCATTCTCTAACTCTTCGCTCTATAGCTGCACACGTTTTTTCCAACTGCAATAGCACTTTATTTTTTCTATCTCTAAACACGTTTTTGCTATAGCTAACCATGATCTATATTCTTTTTCAGAGTAAATTAATGAAAATTTGTGGATTAGACGTGTTCTTGAAAATCTATTTCTACGCATGAAAATGCATGATGGTAGTCCCAAATCCTTTTAAATAACTTTTGACATCAATGAAATAGACACCTAACATCCTATAACAAATCTGCTTGCTTTGATTTTTATTAAAATGTGGGTTTTTTAAATTAATCTTAACTAAACTACTGCTTTGACCTATGGGATGTGTCATTTTTATGCTAGTACTATCTCGTGCTATGTGCTCAACTTATGTCAAATTTATTGTAAAAATGCATTAATCCTTATTATACTACTGCTTAGAACAATATAATATGTCATTTTTTGTTGTGGCACAATGATATTTCACCTGCTCCACTTATGTGCAATTTATTTTAAGGAACCTAAGTTAAATAAGTAATTATATAAAGGACACAGTTTCTATGACTCCAAGGACTGATTTATAGATCTGTGCACCTCTTTATGATCCAGTTTTGAGATGGTCTAACACGAAAAACATTTTTTTTTTTGGTAAATAGCACAAAGAACATTAATGTGTAATTTTTTTAAAAAAATTAGAAATGATAATTTTTTGAAGGAAAATGTTAAACCACTGATTTTGCTTCTTTTTTTTTTTTGGAGAGACTATAATAGTACGTCTATTTTTAAGATGGATGTGGGATGCCGCGAGGCACGCATATGTAGTTATGCATCCGCCAATGCCTAAACCACTTTCCCTAATAAGTTGAAATTACACATAGTGGTACGAAAAAAAAGAATTTGTGGCTTCTCCCACTTGTATATAACACAATAACCTACTTTGAAATTTAGAGTCAAGTAAATTATAATGCTAAGATACTATAACAATAAAATCAGTTGGAAAAGAACTTACCCAATTTTTAACCCTTCTCCCTCTCTCTCTCTAAACAGAGCGCACATCAATTCGTTCTCTAAAGCCCTGCCCTCTTTATTTTTCCCCTGAAAAGCTATTTCCACTCTTTTTCCCTTTCTTTGAGTCCCCCAGGAGGTGACACTTATTTTTTTTACAAAAGCCAGCATGCATCTGTCTATATAGTTGGAACCTAATCCATAAAAATATTGGTTTATTTAAAACTAATCAGTTTACACGTAAAGGAAACTTTATTTTGATCGGAGAATGAAAATCAATATAATACAATTAGTGAAGATATAAGGGTTCCAAGTCAGGATATTAAGAGATAAGAGACTTCTGATAATTCCTACATTCAGCATGTTATAACATATCAGGTCTTTGTGTCAAATCATAGTCATATAGTTTAGTACTGGGTGTACCTCCTAATTTGACCCAGTAAAGTGATGGATAGATAATTAAAAACGTGCATGATTCTATATATTTCCCTTCGACTAAGAATAATATAAATTAAAATAAAATTTATCAAATCACACGTCAGAGTTGATTTTAAAAAATGTTATTTTGAAGGTAAATTTTCATCACTGAAGTGGCCTTAAGAAGTTTAATATTAATTTTATAATTTAAATAAATTTATAAATTTGGGCTCCAGTTTTTTACTTACGATGGAATTATAATATTTGATAATAAGAAACTATATATTTTAATGATGCTCACCTTTGGTACGAAAATTTTAATTTTCAAGTTTTTAACAAATAATTTTTAAAATTTTTGCTTACACTAAATTGTATTTGCTAATCAAATATTAAAGAACCCAACATTTAAAATTGTGCTTATAAAATGAAATTATTTCAATTATGAATGTTTTCAAAAAGTTAAACTTTTATATGAAAAGTAAAATATTGAAATTATTATTAAGTTATTTATGAAGTATTTTCAAAATATTTATGGAATATTTTTAATGGATATTGTTAAATGAATTTTTTTTGAAACTAAATAAATTATTTGCACTTATAAGTCAGGGACATATTTCATGAAAATCAATAAGGATCATTGTGTCTTTTATATAAAGAATCTAAAAATATTCACAATTTTGCCATTTTAAAATTATGCTCATAAAATAAAAATATTCTAATTGTACTCTTTTCAGTTATCTCATTTATAAATTTTTATCATTTTAAAAAAGGACTATTGAATTATTTATTAAACCTTCCAAAGGAAGTTGATATCAATTTTATTTTCTATAAGGGGCTTCGTTTTAGAATATTTTGAAGTGATGAATATTTTATTAAAATGATAAATATTTTATAATTTCATAGGATTATGTGATCCTTTAATTAAAGACCATGGGTAAGTTTGGACAAGCAAGATGACATTTATTAGATTTACATGAAGCCACTTCTATCAAAGAAAGAACTAGCAAAATCTTGAGTAGGATGAAATTATTCATGCACTTCCTCCTTAGATCACAGATTTAGTTTTGTATTGTTTTTTTTAGGTTGATGCCTAGGTTGAGGAGGTTGTATTCCCAAAATACTGGATCTTGTCATGCTCCTACACAGTCTTTTACCTTAGTACCATTATAGATAAGGTGGATTTTAAGTTAAAAAATTATAATTATTCACTTGGAATGGTACTCCTTTTCAATCACTAGTCTTATTCACCATATAGATTCATTTAAAGTGGGGACTTATAAAATGAAATTTATGACTAGCGAATAACTACTCATACAATCAACTTGTTATTAACACACCAGATCTAGAATTTTGAGGTTTCAAAAGAGTAGGCTAGGTTTCTTTCATGTCTTACTGGTATCCTTCGCTTCCAAGGCCTTTTATTAAAGGAAGGGCCAAATTCTCCATTGACTAAACATATTCTAGACCTACTACCACATCTCTAATTAATTTTTTTTTTATGGAGTTACATTTGCAAATAATAATTCTAGATTTTTTTGCAACATACACCATTACATGCTTTCACGAGTGTTGCATGATGTTCATAATGAATTGTGATTTCCGGTATCGATTTGATTATATTGCTAGGGTATAAGATTATTTTGTAGCCATTCTTCTTCCTCACAGCGGAATCTAAAGCTCTAAATTTCGACTCCATAGACGAATGAGAAATAACTTTTTTTGTTTGGTGGACTCCTTAGTACTAGTCTAAGCGGTAATGTAATCATCCATTTGGATAATAAACCTTAGATTTCTATATTCCAATGAACGTCACTATATCCTTCCAACATCCAGGGATAACCTACATAGTATATTCATAGTTGATAGTTCCTTTAAATATTTTAATGCTCGAGGGATTGCACTCCAATGCTCTTTGCCAATGCAAATAGTATATCTAATGTGTTTTTCTACCGTATATACATTGCCAGGCGTTGTATACATCAAACTGGCGATTATTCTTGCACACTCAATTCGATAAATACATCTCCCTACGTTTTCTTTAAATTTATATGGGGATCTATTGGTTTAGAAACTGGCTTACAATCAC